AAATTAAATACTTGAAAAATAATTAATTGAGAATTAATTATTATTTAAATAATATGATTATTTAAATTTGAATTTGAATCATGAACATAATTTAAATTTATCCTTTTAAACTTATTGGATAAGTTGTTCAATTTAAAATTCAAATTAATTTAAGTTTGACTTAAATTTGAATTTAAATTTGATTTTGAATTAAAATTGGACTACAGGATAAATATTGATTTTCTCTTCCTTCCCTATCTGAGATTGGCGCCACACACAGGGATTAAAAACCCTAGCATGGCCGGCCACAAGGAGATAAGGTAGAGGAGAATTTTTGTTCAAAATTCAAATAGGATAGAGAGATTTGTTTCCTTCTAGAAGTTGGACTTCCACTCTATAAATAAGATATGATGAAAATTGCGTGTGACAATTTTTTAACCTAATTTTAGAGGGACTGGCCGAAATCCCTATTATAGAGAGAAGGAAAAAAATTTTCTCCCAAAAAATTTCACATCGTGCATGCGTTCATGTTTGTGAAAAATTTGAGTGTTTGATTTAACTCGTTTTAGTCTCGAGTGTGCCCACACACACGTCTACATAGATTCAAGGAATTGACGTGGAAGACTTTGGTTTACTAAACACAAGGCTTTGGAGCAAGGATCGTTCGTGGTCAAAGAACTCAAGTTATCATCCGAGTCGGCCTCCAGGTATTTTTTCTAATTGAGTTCTTGATATATAAATTAATGTGATTAATTTATTCATGCATAAATTAATATAATCTATAGAGTATCTCAAAAGTTTTATGAAAATTTTTGTTGTACTTGATCCGCCCTCCACCACGCTTCCGCATCCGAATTCGATTCGGTTACCAACAATTGATCTGAAGTTGAAGCCTCTTCCGGAACTAAAGGAGGATAATTCCGAAGACTTGAAGGCTGCAAGGAAGAAGCGTGAAGATGATGAAGTCAATACTCTCTCTGATAGACTCTATGATCTCTACAACTCGATGAAGTCTCCAGTGGAGATTTGGAACGCTCTTGAATACAAATACAAAACTGAGAATGAAGGTACGGACAAATTTCTCATCTTGAAATTTCTTGAATTTGTCATTGATGATACCAAGTCCGTTCTAGATCAAATACATGAATTGCAAGTCGCTGTTACTAAGCTTCATGAATTGAAAGTTAAAATTTTTAAATCATTACGAGTGGGGGCAATTATTACTAAATTGCCTCAAAGTTGGATTGGTTATAGAAAGAAACTCCTTCATAGGAGAGATGACATAACTTTGGAGGAATTACAAGAACACTTGAGGATCAAAGAAGAGACTAAGTCTCGTGATTCCAAGGGCAAGATTATTGATTCCTCTAAGGTTAATGTTGCCGAAGCTAGTAAGTTTTCCAAAAACTTCAAAGTCAATAATGATAAGAAGTTCAAAAAGCCCGGTAATGGGCAAAAGAAATTTTTTGAAAATTGTTTCTTTTGTGAAAAGAAAGGCCATCGCCAAAATGACTGTAGATACAAGAAGAAAAAGGAACAAGTTAACACCAACAAGGCCAATACTGTTGAAGAGAAATCCGAAGACATTTGTGCTATGGTCTCAGAAATGCAAATTGGCATGATTACCGAAACTAATATGGCTGTAACAAAATCCTCCGAATAGTGGCTTGATTCTAGTGCCACAATCCATGTTTGTAATGACAAGAATATGTGTAACACCCCAAAGAATTAAATGAGATTAATTAAGATAATTAAGATTTATTAGTGTGCCTAATCTGATTTAATTATTTGGTTATTAATTAATAAATATTTTTGACGTATGAATTTAAATAATTTCAAGGTATTTAAATATTTTAGGTATTTATATTTTTACCCAGAAGTGTGTATGGACACATTTCTAGACTGTTATTTTAAAATACTTGGACACCTATTTCCCTTTTCTTTTTCATTTTCCTTTTCTTTTCTTTCCTTTCTTTTCTTTTCCTTTCCCGTGCACTCTCTTTCTCTCACTCTCACTCTCTCGTTCTCACCCTCTCCCGTTCAAAAATCTTCCATTTTGTCTCAAATCAAAACCGGATTCGAACCAAAGGAAAATTTCAAGAAGTTTTCAACGCCAAGAGAAAGACTCGAAGTAAGGTTTCGGAAAACCTCTCTTGATTCTTGGGTTTTCGGATTTTAAAACTTGTTTTTGGTTCGGAATGGATTTTGATGAATTTTGAGTAAAACTATGGTAGAAATTAGAGATCGTGGGTTCTTTGGACTTGATTTAGTACCTAGAACCCGGATCTAGTGGTTGTCCCTTGAAATATTATGATTTGGGACTGGATTTGCAAGTTTTCGGACTGATTTTACAAGTTTTCTCGCACTGGTATTCTTCACCGGTCGACCGGATTGCATTGGCCTCACTGGTCGACCTATCCAGTCGACCGGTGGTGATGCACTGTGCTATTATCGGTCGACCGGTGTACACGGGGTTTGACCCCGTTTGGCCTGAAAATGTTGTTTTGACCTCTGTTTTTTAGGAGAACCCAAATTAGCTTCGTTTGGGGACCTAGAATGAATGGATTAGCATCTTTAATCCATGATTTGAGATTGAAAACCCTTGGAATGATAATTTGAAACATGAAATTGATTGAGGCACACTAATAGGAAATCCAATGGTATAATTGAGATTGAGTTGCTTTAGGAATGAGAGTTTTATCCTAAAGTGTTGTATTGTATCAGTGATAGCTGAGGATTCAGATTGAGTGGATTGGGGAAGCGGAAGTCAGAATAGTACACCGCTATCCACAGATTTGATACCTATGAGATAGGATTTCTTACCCTTTTCCTTGTGAGCCTGATTTCAAAAGGTTTTGGCCTTGCAAATGTTTTAAAGAAAGGGGCTTGTTTGCGAAAGAAAAGTATTTAAAACCTATGGCTTGTTGTAGTTCATGGTACTCATGACTAGTTGTAGTACATGGGACCATGGCTTGGTGCAGTTCATGGGACTCATGGTTTGTTGTAGTTCATGAGATTATAACGAACGTTTTCATAAAGTTTAATGAATGATTTCTTAAGATAAGAGACCTTACGAACCGGTAAACTGACTAATGGCCAAGATAGGATGTGGAGAGTGCATCCTTGGGGGCAAGACCCAAAACCCCGAGGGTAAAATGGCTTGTGCACATGGTTGTGTAAGTAATTTATCATAGTATACATTTCTTACTGATGCCTGTAATACATATATTTTCAGATGTATTTCCTTTGAGAAAAAGGATGTGAGGTTTCGGCTGTTGTGTCGGGACTGAATGTCTTATTTTATTTACTTATCCACTTATTTATTTACTCGCTTATTCATTTATTCATTATTTATAAAGTTTATTTCAAATTATATCCTACTTGGCCTTTCGCTCACGTTTTATTATTTTATAAATGTCCCAGGTGACTCTAGGAGCGGTGTGGAGTAGATGGATTATTTGCTACCATTCAATCAAGTGAGGATTGTGTTCATCCTCTTGGATATATGTAAGAATTTGTAAATTATGTAAACTCTGATATTTGGATTTCTAGACTGTGGTTGATGTCTGTAATGTTTTATTCACATGTCATGTATGTATGATACTGGAAGATCCTGTGGATAGATCCTATAATTTATTTCATTTAAGTGTGGGGCTCGCTGGGAACTTCCTTTATTATCATGCGTTTAACCCCTAGTCGAGCTCCACGTCACTGACCCCTGTTCCGAGGCGTGACAGAGTGGTATCAGAGATTTAGGTTAAAAATCCACAGGATTGTACATACATGTGTGACATTAGAAATCCACTGAACAGTCTAGTTTCTTTTCAGTTAAAGGAGATGTCGGCGCGTCGTAGGTCAGTTAACAACCCGGCACCACAGATCCAGGAGTTCATGGATGCCATGTATGCCGCTTTTCAAGGCATGGCCACTTGAGCTCAGAATGAGCGACCGGCCGAGTAAAGGAAGCAGAGTTACTTCTGGGAGTTTAGGCGTGCACCTATCCCCACCTTCAATAGTGAAAGAGGACCCCAAGAAGTGGAGTACTAGTTTGATTCCATCATGAAGCACCTGAGCACCATGGGAATACCGGAAGAGTATTGGGTGGAATTCACGGTGTATAAGATGGAAGGTCAAGCAAGTACGTGGTGGAAGCAAGTAATAAGAAGACTTAATGTTGCGGAAATGAATTGGGAACAGTTTAAGGTTCTGGTAAAGTCATCCAGGAGATTATGCAAAAAGGCGATGTTGAAGTGACAAAGATATCAACACATGACAACTTGGCTGATCCATTCACAAAGGCTTTATCTGGTAAAGTCTTCGATAGTCATCTGGAGGGTTTGGGGATGCGAGATTGTACACACCTACTTTAAGTTCAAGTTGGAGTTTGTTGGAAATGTGTCCAGAAAGTAGGATGTAATTTGTTATTTATGAAATGGCAAATATCAGATATCATTGTTTTGCTGACGTTTATAAATAAAATAAAGTTATGTTTTAATTCATACTCAATAGTGTTAGTAATATTGCTTAGTCCATAGACTATTATCAATGAAAGAAGAGTCAGGGAATCCCTTCCGGACAAGCTCTTCTGATATAGTTTAAAATACATATTCGCAGTCTTAGGATCGATTGGGCAATCGAATTCGATTATGACTGTTAGATCGAACCATATGATGCTGGTCTCGGGGCATGGGAGTTGGACTATGTGGTTGATGTAGACATGTTCACAACATGTTGAATAGACCATGTAACTAATTAGGTTAGAGCAAAAACCGTTTACAGAGCTCTAAACCTAATTATTACAACTTAAGTATATTTGTATAATTATCTCAATCCTGAAGTGAATACATAACTTGACTTAATTTCTCATGGCCTTTGATTCACCAATGAGATTAGTTCATAGTTTTTGAACAACATCTCGGCTATTGGGATCATGACATAATTAAGTTGGAGTTGTGTGATTCACAGATATGGAATTCGTAAGCGATAATGTCACCTCATGCTTTATTGATGGGTGTGTGAATAAATAAACCAGGCCTGGTATTCAATGATGGTATTCATTGATTAAGACATCGTGACATGTGCGAGACATCTTACGAACATATGTCTTTCTTATTCACAGTCATATAAAGGAGTTGAGGAAACAATGACTGGAATGGTAAAACGGTAATTTTCTATACCATTCTAGTCACTGATATTTACGAAGGATAATAGTGCATTTATTCTGTGGACCGTGTGATAAATTGTATTAACACCATCAGAAAAATAGCGCATATGAATCAAGAGATTAGTCGGCATCGAACCTTTAGTGGAGTCGTACGATGTCGGAATTAAATACGTCGATAACTTATCGGGATAAATTAGTCGAGTATTGTAATTCCATAGCTTTGTTCATATGGGTCCATTCGGTCTCAAGGCTAGCTCTAATAAGTGGGAAAATTGAAACTGATGTTTTGTTACATAATTGTGTTTAAATAAATTTATTATGTTATTTTTCATTTATTTGATAATTGAAAAATAAAAGGAATGAATTTGAATTTTGAAATTAATGGTGATTAATTTAAAATTTAAAATAGAATTTGAACATGATTTGATTTGGCAATAAAAGGGGAAGGAAAAATTCAGAAATCCCTAAGGCAAGAGGGAATTCGGATTTTGATTGAAAAAAGGAAGGAAAATTCAGAAATCCTATCTAGGGTTTGAGTTTTCGAATTTCCTCTTATAAAAAGATATTATTGAAAACCCTAGTGGTGGGAAAAGAAGAAGAAAAAAAATATCTCACTCTCATTCTCTTCCTAGGGTGGCCGGATTTTGTAACAAAATTAGAAGAAAAATTGTTTCCTTAGGTTTTTGAGAAAGAGCCCACTCTCTAATCCCAAAACACTTAGAGTCATAGTCTTGAATGAACGAGTGGTTTGTGGTGTGATCGTGTTCATAAATGAACGGTCTTGTTTCACGGCAATTCTCCATCTCATAACGTGAGATAGTTTGCGGCCATATTTGATCCGATCGTCTTAAAGGTATGATTGTCATTTTATTCCTTTATCTATAAACATATATCATGCATGTATCTCTCGTTGTGATTTATGTTTAATTTGGAATTAAAAGAGATGTGAATTTTTTGAAATTTCCGCCTACAAGTTTGTTGTTGTTTAAATGATTTTTCACTTAAAAATCACAACTTTATCCTACATAAATTTAAATAATTCCAATGTATTTAAATATTCTCAGTACTTAAATTTTTACCCAGAAGTGTGTATGGGCACATTCCTGGACTGTCATTTTAAAATACATAGACACCTATTTTCCTTTTCCTTTTCCTTTTTCCTTTTCTTTCCTTTCCTTTTCTTTTCTTCCTTTTCCTTTTCCTTCCCGTGCACTCTCTCTCTTTCACTCTCTCACTCTCTCGTTCTCTCATACTCACTCTCTCTCCCGTTTTGCTTCAAAATCAACCGGATCTCGAACCAAAGAGGAATTTCAAAGACTTTTCAATGTCAAGAGAAGGATTTGAGGTAAGATCTCTAAAAAACCTCTCTTGAATCTCGGATTTTCAGATACTAAAACTTATTTTTAGTTCAGACTAGATTTTTATGGATTTTGAGTAAAACTATGGTAGCAAATGGAGATCTTCGGCTCTTTGGACTTGATTTAGTATGTCAAACCCGG